ACTAGTTGATGTGTGTAACAATAAGTGTTCGGAACAGAAACTAGATCTCAATTAATTAGACAATCGGCAACAGTTTTTGCCTTAAACAATCATTCCTACCCAAGAAACAGTAAATACAGAAAGAATTTTTTTAGAGCTGCTTTTACGACAGAGAAGGGAATCTTAACGGAGTCGCATAAAGAATACTGCATTATTTCTCAATTTCCTTACTCTAGAAAAGGTGGACGAATTGATAGTAGTACTGTCAAATTGACAAATTATTACTCGACTTTAAGCTAGTATTCTTCGGATAAGACTAACTCAAATCTATCAAAATGGCAATTTCCAAATGCAAATTCGTAACTTTACCGGTGTAATAGCTTGCGCTATTATGCTAGGTCCTAAGTTATTTCTTACGTAGCATGAGTCTAAATTTTACACTAGTACAGCACGCACTCTAGTTGACCGTATCATCATGTACTCACTAAATTATTGGACATCTGTATAACTTAATATCAGCATCAATATGACTTAAAGTCACTTCCCTACAGCAAACTAGACTGCAATCAGCAATAAAATCACGAATATAGAATAACTATTAGCTGAATTAACTGATTTTTTCGATCATGAAATGTTTTATGCAGACTTGATTTGATTTTTTAAATTAATGATCGCCGCTAACAGCTGTTGTTTTCTTGTGTATCGAAAACGGATTGAAATCGTATTAGAACGCTTTCGAATTACAAGATGTTTTTAATGCAGTCGAAATGTTGCGAGTATGGATGCTATTTGCGAAAGTTCGATCGATATGATCTTATTTACCGCTATAATAAAATACTGAATGGCTGTACTGTATTAAATCATTTCCTGACTATCACAGTTTGACTGATCGATGAAGTTCCTAAAAATGTGCGCTTTTATAAATGTTCGGTATTGAAGGTGAATCGTCATAGATAATCACACGAATTATAAGGATTATAGAATCGTCGAAGTGATTTTAGTTATCCAATTAACATCATTTTAACGACATTACCCTATACCAATTTGGCTTAAAGTTATAACAATAACCTGTCTTTGCTGTCTTACCAGTATCAACTTTTCCATAACAATAAATTACTTAATCGGTGCAAGTCGATTTTTTAGAACATTTTTTCGAATATTTCCAGACAATATTTTATGACAGGATATAGTTTAGGCTATACTCCTTACCGGCTTGAATAAATATCATAGATAATACCAGGATGGATGTTTTAGACTTCATTCCGTGACAGTCAAAAGCTATGTTTCAGAATAAATGCTGATAGATATTTTAAACTGAAATTGATATTTTTAATCCAAGGGAATGCTTGCAAGAGTACTTATATGGCATCAGATAATTATCAAAGCAGGCATGATCTTATGATAGCAATTTATTTAATTCGTTTGGCCTAGGTTGAATTGATCTCAAAGAAATTTCTAGATTGCATTATCGTTAATGATAATTGATCAGACGTCTGCCCGTAACGGATATAGGGTAATTATCTCCCATTTTATATATACCGATATAATCACGATTAATGATTTAAGTTTACTGAATCAAGGTAGAAAATTATTTTAAATAATAAAAGATTCATGCAATGCAATAAGAATGATAAAGATTTAAAGATAGAGGAACCATGGATTGAAATTAAGATAGAATCTAGCGTAGAGGAAGAGCAACTTATTGTTGGTAAGTAATTACGCTCGTTTGCTAGTAACTATTCTAGCATGTGTTAGAGATGTAATTAGGAACATCTGGCATATTAATTTCTTGTTTTTCACATTATTTTACGAGACTGATTATCATCTCATATCTGTCGATGCTAGAAGTCTTTTTTCATAATTGTTATAAGCTAAAAGCATCTTGTAAGTTGATGTACCACTCGACCAAAGCTGAGCTTTGATTTAATCTGTGTCACTTAAATATAATAAATTTATCTTTTATTTCATTAAACAAATAGACTTTACAATATAGACTAAATAGCAGTATTTCAGATCTAGTCAATGATAAGATTCTTTGATCATTTCAAGCTGTTAAAGAAACTTGGTACTGCAACATCATGATGCTAATATTGGCTCCATATACGTATGCAAAGGATGCAAGACCACAAAAAAGAATCTTTATGTATCTTATTGAGTTACAGCTACAGTTAACAGAAAATTCTAGTGAAAAGATAATTTCAGATTGGTTGGTTTGATCACGAAAGAAGAATATAACGCAAAATTAAAATTTTAATCAATAAAGGCAATTAAGTTTTAGTATTAGTTTACTAGTTATATTATTTTGACTCGCGTGCCTCATGCGACTTCGTAAAGAAATGGATAGCTGGTAGCATATATGTTTCAATAGAAATTATTGATAAGCTAGGGTCGAAATCTTCTTAATAACATGAAATTTCTTATTTTAGACGAACTGACATTTTAATTAACGATAACATTCCCATCTCGGCAAGAATATTTTTGCTGGAATAAATTAAATAGCAATCTTATTAACCTTTTCCTAAAGAAGCGAAAACTATGATGCCACAGTCGTGAGAATTACTTAAGTATAGATGCATAGTTTGGGATAACATTTTGTTTGGAGCTCTTTAGAAATATAAAGCACTTCTTTAGGAATTGTTATTGCTAGCGATAAAGTAAGAACTTATGATATTGTGATGGAATAGTAAATGTTTCCAGTAGGTATTAGCGATATAGAATTTGATAGAGTGTTACAGTTCAGTATATTTAACGTACTGTATGAGACATAATTCATCCACAGATGTGGGAAATTCTCGAGGTACTTCAACTAATGTACTAATTGGACTACTTCTACACAAATAATCGATACCTGACCGATATCTATTAGTTCTAGGTTACTCTTTATTTGAGACCAAGTAGTGATCCAAAACGGCGTTGAATATTATTTGACCTTACGGTCTAACTGAGGCAATATAGATCACGATGGATCTAACTACTAAACGTAACTAAATCAAACAGCGGATACGATGATGCTTAGACTTCTCAAGCAATTATAGTTACTTATGATTGCCGATAACTGGCAACTACTAACTGCAACCCTGATGAGTTGACTGACTAGAATTGAATTAGTATGATTACTTAATCGTAATAACACTATTGTTATTAAAGTTATGCCGATAGCACAGTAAACATGTTTACTGCGACTGATAAAGTGTATAAGTAGAATAGTAATCAAAAAAAAGAAAAGAACAAGGAGACTTATGTTACATTATGATGTGGGTTAGTGTGTTTACTTCACAAAGATTTCAGTTACTGTACCGTAGGCTAGGGAAGTAGTCTTACGGATTAAAGTAAAATTCACTAGAAGCACTAAGTCGTTTCTTGTGTCATAAGGGTAGTTGTGGCGTATGCTATCACTAAACTTAAAATTATCAATACCTATGCAGCATACAGTAGTCCTATAAATTCAAGCCAACCGAAGGAAATTCTATTCTATCTCTTGCTTTTCAAGATAGTGTTAGGTCAATGATAATAGAAATGGAATGCATTATTATGCCTTTATAATTATTATTTGTATTTGTTTATTAATTCTATGATATTGATGGAAGGTATTAAGATAAGAAGAGTACTCTGAAAATTAAGGTTACATATTTGACACATATGAAATCATCATAATGTCTAAAAGACTCTATTTAGTCTACGGTATTATAGCTGATTGCAGTATCGTTATTATTGAATTTCTAACCTCATAGCGGTAATATGCTCGCTATATTAGGATATAAATGATATTAAGTTATGGAAAGCTATAAAGAAATCAGAGGGAAAGAGATTACTATGAGCGGGATGATATACCAGTACATGTAATACATTTTAAGATTGGTTATGGCCTGATAACTAAATTTTTACCGTATGAAGAGATGAAATTACTTTAAGAAAGTCAACACTAAATAAATTATTGTCAGAAAAAGTTATACATTAGCTATGGTTATGGCATAAATAATGATGAAAGTGATTTAGGTAGTGCTAATCGGATACTCAATCATGTTACTCAAGACATCGAATCTTATGCTCGAAAATAAAGCTACCTCACAACGAAATATGAATTGGATCTTGCGCTGTTAGCACCCTGGAAAGCAAAAATGAAAATAGAATACTAATGTAATTGGCAAACGATATGATCGAAATTGCGTCATCTGTTGTTGGTGATACTGTATTTTGAGTTGAAGGAAAATGAGTAGAAGGAACGCTATAAAAAATAAAATAGCTTAGTAGAATAAAGTAAGATCTTCTTAATGGTTATAAAAATAATAAGATAGAAGTAATACACTTTACAATTTACAGTTAATCAAGTATTTGAAAAATACTAAATAGAGCACTTATGTACTTGTACATTAGATTTATATTTGAGAATTTTAGTTTAGCAATTTCTAGTCCCAGATTAAATGTAAAACAACTTAAAGGTCAAGTCAAGTACTGTTAGTTTACTCTAGATTTGTAGTCAATACAGCCAAAAACATACTATTACCTGACTCTGCAGTGACCAGATTGGATAGAATTTGGTGTTGTTAAAATGTTGCAGGCAGTTGGAATAGATTGAGAGCAATTCGTCGCTTGTGAAGTAATACATGCAACTTTGGGTGATAGCTGACAGCACGATGTTGGAAAATTGGTACTTCTAAAATAAGTTACTATCGATTGGTTTTTGATTCTGGAAAATAATTATAGTTGCGCAAGTAAATGCCTTCTTGAATCAATAGTACTCACAATGTCTTTAATTTTGTCATATTAGAAAATGAATTTGAAGAGATACACCGTAAAGGATTATATTCAATGGCCCTATAATTTATGTTGCATTTATAGATAAAAAAAGAATTGAAGGATTTAAATGTAAAATAGATGCGAAGGAGAAAATGTATATCAGACACTAACAGATATTTTAAGTTTTTTAATCCGTTGAAGCTATTGTTATGGATAGCTTGTAAGGCATTACTATTGAGATACCTTGAGAAGAAATAGCTATTTGTTATTAAAATCAAATCTGCTTATTCTATTATGTCAGTTACATACAAGGATGTCAGGTTTTCCAGCGCAATAAATGCATCCTCATAGATGATCTTAATACAATTTTCGGTTAGAGTTCTGTATTCGTTTAATAAGCAACAAATTTTACAGCTATTAGACAACTGGTTATCATTTCGTATTGGTAAATTAGCAAAATTGATATTTTATATTTAAATGCTGTCCAACACTATTAGTACTAATTTTAAAGACATTTCAGCTTATTATAAAATAAGATAAATATGATGCTATGACTTACAGTATATGCAGTCCACGTAAACCGAAAAATGTGTTTCTAGTTATATTTCGTATAGTGTTATGCCTTAAATCTCTAGAATATCAATTTGGAAGAAATTGAATAAATTAATTTCTGATCTTGGAATTTCGTAAGATAAACTCAAATTTAAGAGGGTATTAGTATTTTCTTAGTTAGAAATGGATTTAAAGGAATTGGATTAGTAACGTAAACGAAAATGTATTATACATTTTTTTAAATAAGTATCGAATAATAGGAATTAAATCATGCTCCAGTAATTATTATCTCATTCTAACATAGATTTTATAACTGTCATGTATAAGGTAAATTCATTTCCTTACAAATTTTGTAGACTAGTGAGGTCCTGAAAGCTATTGTCTTCAATCCAGGAAATGAAATTGCGCGCTAAATAGCTGTTATAGTGGGAATGAACGATCAAAATATGTTAAAGAACATTATCTACTCGGATTCCTGTGCAATGCTACGATATCTTGTAGTAAAGCAAGGGGTATTAGCATATTTAACTTCACTTACAGGTTAGATAGTGATGCTAAATTATGAAAGTTTTGTGCATAAATAACGTTCAATTGATTGGTATTTAGGTTTCTAATTAAAATAGTAAAGAAAGCCGATATAAAATTATACGTAAAGTAGTAAAATGAATGACGTACAAACTGCCGAACTGGCAGTATTTTGATCTAACTAAATTGCCTTATACTATATTACAATTGCATAATATAGATATTGTAGTACTTTCAACTTGCAGCAGTTCTTGGCAACTAAATTAATAAGTGGTGATTAAAAGCTTTATCCATAATTTATTAACTGTGATACTAACAAGATTTTCAGATTATTAAAGCTTGACCAAAGGTGTCTAGGAAGTGATTTAAGATTGTTGCCCTCTAGATTTCTATTGGCAGAAATAATATATCAACTATATAATTAAAAAAATCAGCAATTATGTAATCTATCGTGAAAACTAGTGATATCAATATTATTTACAATTCTTTTAACTTGATCAAGGATTTAAAAGCATCGCTATCGATGAAGGCTATATTGTTGTATTCCAAATTGCTATGAAAAGGATAGTTTCGTATCAATAGAGGATTGCAATAAAATTTTAATCCCATCGTACGTTGTATCAATAGTCAATGCAATGAACATGCAAGAAAAATTTGAGGTTTAATACGTACAGTTTCTGTATAGTTGAAATACCAATTAAATCTCTTTTCTTAATAGCTGTAAGCTGCCCATTGACGATATTCCTACAGCAGATTCAAAAAAATAACGCACAAACTAAATTTTCTTATTTAAAGTTTAAGTTTGTCTTTTATATAATCAAAAGTAAGTAATATGGAATAAATGCTTTTTATATCTTTAAAATACAAGAAAAGTTCTTATCTCATTTCTTGTACTGTAGATTTCTCTTTCAGGATGTTATAGAATTAATTTACTTATCAGTACATTGTTTACGGAAAAACTCTAAAAAACTCTAAATATACTACTTACAATACCGTCAGATTGGATAAATTCAATTTTCCTTCCCCTAATGCAAGGATATTGTTAAATCCAATATTTCTAAATAATTTGAAGTAGATTGTAATATTATATACGTTGTCAAAGGATAACAACTTTGATATTAACTTAGATATATGCAGATCATTAAATGAAGAGTAATTTAATAATAAAACTGAACGTGAACAGGATATTATAATTATCAGGATGTAAGTATAATATATATAAGAGTAAGGTAAGATATAAGATATAAGATATAAAAATGAGATATACATCACACTATCAGTACATGTCTATGGTATGAAGAACAAATAGAATATTACAGTTTAATATGGACGCATAAAGTGAAAATAGAATATTGTAGCTAAATGCGGGAAAGAGTGTTTAACTTTAGGTCCGTACAGCGTTAGCAAATTCTCTAGTGATTTCAACGCAATATATGGTATTTCTGGCAACCCTAGCAATTGTCCTTGTAAATGCCTGGTTAAAAATTTAAAGATAGGTTTGATAAAATTTTAAAAAGGTAGAATTGTTCTAATGTACTTTTAATGCACATGCAAATGTTTAATGTAATTCTGAAACCACCTTAATTCCGAAATTGATCAGTTTTAGATATTAACACTAGATAAATTAATTTCTTAAGAATTATATAATCTTCAATGTCGTTTAATATACAGAATTAATATCACATTTCATCGCAGCAGTAATAGATACAGGGTGTTATGATGTAAAATTTTAGAGTTTGCATTTATTGGCGATAATTAGTAGGTTTTCAAGAGTTGAGATGTCTATCGCTGAGATAAATTAAAATTTGAAACTGAACCCTTCAATTTTGGGTTTGAATAAACACTTAGAATAAGCTGTAGCATATTATTACGAAAGCCACATCATGAATTAATTCAAGATCTTGAAATGAGCATAAGTTGTACATTTTAGATCCTTTACTCAAGCATTATAATAAAAAATATTTTGTAGTATTTAGGTAACAATCATTATGGCCAATAAAAGTGACTTACAATTGCCTTAACTTTGGTAATCCAGCGAAGGAATCATTCTTAACATGAGTAATATTGTTGATAGCTAGGTATCTAGAAGAAAATTAGATTTTATGCAAACGATCATTTGGAAATAAGATGCTTGCAGAAGATAAATTCGAATCGTTTATGAATTTCAAATTGCTGTACTAGCAGATTTTCAACCTTAATGCTAATACTACAGTCTAATTTAAAATTAATTTTTTGGGAATAATTAATTATACGCTCATACAATTTGCAATTAAAACATAATTATTTAAGACCAACTTACAAAGTGCGCAAATTTGGTAGATTAAATTTCGCTTCGGATATCGTAGTGATATAATTAAAAGATAAATCCCTAAAATTTTGGATAATTGGTCAACTATTCTTTGCTATACAGTAAATGCTAAATGAATACCAATATCTCAAATGAATTTGCTTATAAAGATTATGATGTAATTAATTATGTTTATTCTCAAAAACAAAATCAAGGATTAGCAAAGCAGTCAGTTTTACTATCAAGAAAAATGGAAAATGTAGAGTACAGAAATTACGAAAATACTATGATTAATCAAAACAACTTCAGGCATCGTTTGTAAGACTTATTTACTGAATACCTTGTAAAAGTGTACATATTTTATTCTATATGTACTGCTACTACGAACTTTTCCCTTATATCTCAGTTGCTCTTGAGTTATTAGAGAAGCTTGTGGTATTAAAATGTTGTAACATCACTTCTTGATAGATTCTTTCGAAATCTGCTTTAATTATGTTATTATGTTATATATGCATTTTATTTAATAAGGAGTATTTTATTCTTCTTAAAGCAGAATCGAATATCAATGAGATCATAGTAGCTGAATCTGACTTAGTTCTCAGAATTCTATGTCATAATACCAAGTCATATTTTAAAATTGACTATCACTAATAAATATTAAAATAATTGCTATTTGATAGCCTTCTTATCGTGTAGATTAATTGTACTATATGCCTTTGCATTTATCTTTCTCTTAAAATGCATTTAATTTTACTTACAAAACTACTAGAGATGCCAAATCGGTAAATGCTCCATCTTCCAGTGAATTTATTTCATTGTTTCCTAAATTTCTAAATTTTGATAGCAAAGGATTTAATTTCTTACTCATTTTTTTCATATCAATTATGCCTTAAGATCAAGAAATAAACGTAATACGCATTGTATCGATAGAATATTCTGTCGATAATATTATATCGATACTTATATAATACTACAGAGTGAACAACTGTCACTAAGGGAATATGCTAATTGTAATGTTAAAAAGTTTATCTTGAAAAAATGGTGTATTGTCTTACAAGCGAGTCAATAAATGCAATCCAGAAAAGACATTACTTTCAATTTTGGTTATTTGATTTCCGGTTAAATCTCTTAAAGAATATTAAATTGTACTAATCAGTTTCCGATATTAAACAAGGCCAAAATGTGCCAGCTTTAGTTTAGTAGAATAAAAATAGTATTTTTTTATACGTCACAAGATTCAGATCTAAAGTTAAAGCTTTCTATTTCAAAATATTACGTATTGAAATGTTGATTGCTGAGTAATAGCTGACAATAAGTAGAATTTTGTAGAAACTACACTTATTTATTTATTTAATTGAGAATTAATTATAATAATTCTATCATTTCTGCAGCAATACGAATAGCAGAATGTTCGTGAGATAAGCTTTAAGTACGTATTTTTTGCTCCTACAGAAAATCGAATACCATTGCAGTGGATATTATCATTTATTGCTTACTTAATGTTCCATTTATTTTATTTACAAATTTCTTACATAGTTTGTAAATTTGAATATTTGGCAAAGTTGTCTTGAGTAACGTAGGCAATAGAAGAGAAAGGAATTGATCTAAATTGGCGAAAGGAAATTTGAAAAGTGTGTTTTAATTTCATGTTTATTTTGTTGGTTCATGTTATTATAACGCAGTATAATTATTAATTAAGCGATGATTGCTGTAGGAATAAGTACACAAGATATATTGCCTTACAGAACTTGAATTGTTGACATATTCTGCTTTGGTATCGGTACTGCCTTAACTATAGAACAAACTACATGAGTGGTGTTGCAGTGGCAGGAAGCTGGACATTGTGAACGCACTGCATAGAATGAAGAAGGTAATTTATATATTTATTTTGACTTGATATAGATGATAAGATAATGCATCAAAATTTAATTAGCAAGTTCAGGATCATCTACTATGAAAAGATTTGTGAATTATTGCTATAGCCAGAAGTCAATATCAGCTTGCATTAAGTTTAATAAAGCCTATACACTTAAATCAATCCACTATATTGCTACGCAATTAGTCTTCAACATACTTAAGTAGGCTTTAGTTACTTTATTGTATGACTTGGCCTTGATATTGAAGGCCGGTCTTAGTATATATTAGTTCTATAATACTAGGTTTAAATGTTCTGTATGGCCGGAAAGCAGAAAGATTACGTCTAAATCATGGCAAAGTACCGAGATTGTTATTGATTAACACTTTATTTTAGTTGGGAGAATTAGAGATTTGATAAGGATAGGGTGGCTAAATGTCAGATTTTAGACTAATTACGTAATTAGCAAGGCTGAATACGAACTTAGTAATATTGTATTTACCTCTAGACGATAATACTGTAACTTACTAAGATTTATAATTAAGATTTTTAAAATTTTTAATTTTCAAATTGTATCGATGGATCTCATGATTCAAAAATCGTTACTGAAATGGTTTTAATGTGGCTATTCACTACTATTATCATTATTATTACTCAATAAGATTGCGTCTGGCTTCATATTATTGTACAAAGATCTGACTTGATATGTTAATAGGCTGTATCAAATCTACAGGAAAGTAAACGCGAAGAATTTTATTGTATAGGTCAAAGAATAACAGATGGACTCGATTGATAATGACTACTGTAGGTATGATATTATTAACAGTATCGACAAAATCATTATATTATATACTAAAGTAATAAAATAAATAGGAACTGTACTTTCGTAGTATGACAAAGCTTCGTAGGTAACTTGGAGATAGAAATCTTGTGAACGTGGTTCGATCAAATAAGTAAATTTATTATCTTTATTAAAATAATTTGTTTTCTTTTTATGCTTGAGTAACAATAGATGCAGCAAATTTCGTAGAAATTGTGAAAAATCGCACATTTATATGCGCTAGGAATATGGAATCGAGGAGAACTATATTTTATTCCACGTGATTATTCTGGCTGTAAATTAATGAATATAAGTAACAATAACTGAGAAATGCACTTTCAGAATCTTCTAACTATATCTTTATTCTAGAAAATGCAAGTCTAATTTAATATTCAAAATCAATCATTTAAATAGCTTTTTTAGCAATAAAACCAGTTTACGATGTGTGATATATTTCGACCAATAAGACTTCATGAATACATTAAATTATTCCTAGTCTAATCCAATGAATTTTTAATATTACTATAGATTAACTTTATGTTGGCCCTAGCTTACAATTAATAGGATTTATATAGAATTTACCATTGACAATTCATGTACCATATTTAGTATAATTTAACCTGTATTAAGGAATAGGTTTGTATCGGCCATATTAAGTCATAAAATAATTCGTGTACATATCCAAATTAATAACTATCGTAACGTGATACATATACATGTCTAAATTAAGTAAGTTATCATTCATCACGGTAGATTCACTACCGTGACAACTGATTTATTGTGGACCCTTCAGAATTGGCTTTACTACATTTATATTAAGAGTATTGATCATTATAACTTAAACTATCTCGTATTTATTTATTTATATAGTAGATCTGAATAACACCCTAATGATTAAAAACGCCTCTGTCAAGGGCATCAAATACTCGTTGAATGCGCAAGAAATACTTATTCAGACAGACAGTCTGTGATTGCAGTTTCTAAATATCATCCGTGTGATACTTCAGTCTAGAAGTTAGTACAGTGTATATATTTTTTGGATGCTATTGCTTGTGAATATTGTAGTTCCGCTACATCAGCAAGGAATTGTGCTGAAAAGTCCGGAGTATGTAGCAGTTTTAATGAAGTCAATATAGAGGAAAATACATATAAGTTTACAGTATAGAATGAGAACAACGTGAGATAGTAAGATAGTGAAAGGCAGAATAGAGTTAAGAGTAGAAGTTTGTCGGACAGGTAGCATAGCCAACTCCCTAAATTGGACTTAAGGAAATCGATTTTATGACATTTGATAGTACAGGAGGAAGATTCAACAATAATTAAGACAAGACGATCAGAATCCCTGGATAGAATAATAATCAGCATGATACTGCCTGCCATGAAGTGTAAAGGGACGCATAATCTTGTCTAAATCAATTATCACTTTCCATATTCTATTCTAATTTTAAGTACAATGATATTTCTTAGTGTAATTTAAGTTTTAATCGCAAGATCTTCTGTACTAATTCAAGCTCCCAGAAATATTTACAACTGTGCCATAGCGGTGATTAATATTAATCTGTCGAGTAGATAGTTTACTGATTTTAGGATAAACTGGATTGATTCAAATAAATCAACTTAAATGCCGGTATATCGTCATTTCTTATCGAGTAACCATTTGATACCGGATAAAAATGTTAAAATTTTCCATATCTGATAGGATTATTATGTATTTCAAATCATGAAATAGGTAGATTCAATTTCCTCGAATTATGTATTGAGAATATTTTATTATAACATTAGTGCTAAAATTGAACCAAATTTATTTTAGGAGCATATAATCCTCAACTTTGCTTTAACGGTTTATATTATCAATTATAGCACTCGCTATTTGATTGAAAAGTGACGTACTATAAAGTAGGTAGAGAAAATTAAGCATGGCAAGTTGGGCGCAATTATAAATTTCTTGGTCAATATTCAATTAATCTGTATTAGATTTAACCATTTTGTTTTTCTTAAATTATCCTTTCCAGGGTAGCATAGTGAATAAATCAAATCTTTCAAAGCAGATAACGCTATTTGTAAAATCAATACGTACAATTCTACGTGATAAAGCTGATGGACATCGGTAAGTTGACACAAAAATGATACGTGAACGAAACCCTACTGTATACGCATTATTATTGTTATCATAAATACTTCTTAAAGCACACCAAAATCTTCCCGTCGCGTTTAAAGGTCTAACAATCAATTATGTCGCAGTAAAAACTTTCAATCTTAAAGTAAAGGGTGATGATAGTATCGGATATAAAATTTCTACGATATACATTTAATAGATAACCTGACGATAGATATAACACGATGAAAGAGATGATAGCAGCAATCTTCCGGATAGATATGACAGCCATTTTTAGATGTAGGTCTGGGACTGCTAGACTGTAAATCACTTATACCAATTGAAGCCTTGGTAACATGTCCTGAATGAGTGCTTGATATTATCGTTGAGGGGACAATTAATAATTAGTACTGGATATTAACATCTAGTAGTCACAGATGGAATACCTTGAATTGAACTGTTAATTAGTTCTTGAATTGATATGGGCATAATCATTTCCATTGTATAATGGTATCATAATGACACGTCGCTATCTGACATTATGCATTGTTCTAATACAGACTATCGATGAAGCAGCTTCTATATCATTATTAAAATAATTGAGTATTATCATATTTGAAGTATTTAATTAACCCATCTGCTGAATTTAAACAATGATGTTTGTTATTTTACATCAAAATGAATCATAAAAATAACGCTTCATGGCATATAGATGTTTTTATGTTATGGATAGTATGTTTATTGGCTGTGATGATTTAATTAGCCTTAGCTATGTTTTTTAATACTGTAAAATTTANACAGTGATATTTATTATTATTTCACGTCATANAGAAAGATAAAAATGACACTTCACGACATCGTAGATAATAAAAAAGAACTGTCTCTGGATATGAGTTTTACGTAATATACCGCACACTATATTTTGTAAGAATAATAAAGTAAACAGCATCTATAAGTGATAATGCTAAATTATACGAGATTATTTTTCAATTTTTAACGATATTTAAAAATTTAAATCCATGAATAAAGATATCTGATGAATTATAGCACTACTTAATGGCATAAACGATAGCTTGTAGTATTTCTTATAGATTTCAGGATTAAAGGAAGACTTCAACTAAATTAATGATGGTTAATTTTCAGTTTCTAGTATAAAAGCTTTCTATTTTGTCTGTAACCACGTTATCATTTTGCACTAGTCATATTGCTATAATATCGCACGATAATTAACTTTACAGTGGTTAGAATCAGCTATTGGCTTAATAACAGCTATAATAGATTACATTAAAGGTAAATATAGTAATTTTCCTTTGCTATCGAGTTTAGTTACTTTAATTGCTGTTGTCCTTATAAATTGTATCAATTGCAATAGGAATAGTCAATAGATTGGATTAACATTATCAAATATTACTTCGGTTAGTGTTGATTATAATACAGTCTAAAGAACAAGAATAATAAGAAAAATGACAAATTGCGTCACGATGCATAAGCCTGAAATAAATGAAGAAGTAGAATTGTTCCAGAATAATTTTAAAAGTAGCTGCTGTGACAAAGTTTACGTGAAAGAGCATACGTAAGAATCTGTTGATAACCATTTACCTATAAGGGTTAGCTCAGAGATCTTGCCAAAAGTAGTTTCATCTACTCTTTCTAAGAGTCATTTGGTCTATCGAAGACTACTTACTACACTACTAAAGTTCGATTTTGTTGACTTAGATCATATTTCGTAAATCAACTCTTCGATTTTGTATCACCAAAAGAAACGCTATTCATTCGTATTAGATAGCTTGAGTGTACAATAAACGGACTCTCAAAACGGTAAGGAAAATATAGATAAATTATTTTTAGAAATTATATGAGGCAGTTTACTATCGCCATACAAATAAGGTACGATCAACTTCATTTAATGAATCAGCCATGTAAAATAAAAATGGATATGCGCAAATAATGAAACAAGCAGAATAATTCCCTGATCAAAATTGCAGCAATCTAGACTGCATTAAAATCAAATTTATCCTGCTATTCTTCATGCATGAAAATCAAAAGCTGATGTAGATATTTTAGGCTTTATCTACAAAGTATAAATAGCCACTGTGATAAGTAAATTTAATTGAAATATTTAAATGTAAGATTGATTTCTTAAGATACAAGATTTCCGAGATTGTAACCACTATACTCAAGAAAATGGCGCTCGCTATATGATTTACAATAGTATATAGATTTTACGATATAAATAAGTAAATTGATTGGATAAGGTCTTCCTACTAGATTGAAACTTGCAATGATTTAAGTGCGATCCTTTAGTATTTTCATGGCTGCAGTCTCACCTCAATAGTTTACAACGAGATAGAATTGCATTAGAATTATTGCCTGCACAAGAATTTGGCAGTTGATGTTCAGAACAATTAAAGGCGCCAACATAATCGCAAGTTACAGTAGTTGGGAGTTGACAGCAGACTTGATAAAATGTCGTATAACTAATTGTTGAATTAAACATGAAATTTTACGTTCGATAAGCGGAAAAGATGGAACTAGCTTTCGAAGCTCTGTTTTTGTTTATATTGCAATACTTACACAATCGATAATTGTGATAGTTTCAAAAATGCTTGAGCGGGCACACAAGCTAGTGGATTATTTTCAATTTTGCTAAATTTTTGAATGCAGATTGAAATGGGACTTTAAGATTAAATAGTTTTACACAGCAGCTAAATTAAAAAATTGATTACTTAATTGTGTAATCAATATATTCCATTAATTGGTGCAACTAAAGATATCGTAAGCGCATAGCAATTGGAATTGTTTTGTTTTACTGTAACATGAGATTTCCCATTGAAGACATAGCTTCAGATTCATATTTAATCGCTGCTATATTTCCAACTTACAGATTTTGCAATTGATTTAAGCCATTAAATGTGTTCGAATGAATAGCATTCAAAGCATTGTTCATTAAATTTCTTTACAAAATAGCAAAATATAAGATCAATATTCGTCTTCTCATATCGGTTATCACTAATAAAGATGTAATTCTACTTTAAAATAATTGCTATTATATTGAATATGTGATAGATTTATGTACTAGTATGCAAAGAGAACGGTACATTGAATCCGATTGACAGTGAAAATATGCAATTTAAGTCAGTTCAGATTTCGTAGAAAGGAAATATTGATATCAGCTTGCGACACTAGTAGATATTTCGAATCAATTAGTTTGCTTTAATATTAAATTGCTCTCATCACTTCGTAATACAAGCTTAGTAATTGGAATATGATTAGATTTTAAGCTTAAACTTAAAAAATAAGTTGGTACTGTATGCAATATACAAGTTAGCGTTGTCTGAAATGCTGAATTAAATTTTAAAATCATCAGGAATTGTTATTTACGATTTTACGAAATCTACAACTGAAACCTATCCTAAATAAGCAACTTCACTTCTATATGCCTCAAAAATCATCTGTAAATTGAATTTGATAATTGCTTATATTAGTACTCACAAGGATATAAGACTCTTCAAATTTGAAAATGCATCATCTGCAATTTGATCGATGCAGTTAGATGATATGTCCCTAATATTACAATTCCGTAAATAGATTGAGTCAATTCACAAGCTGAAGTTAAATTATGAAATAAAATCATGAAATCATAGCATGACTGTAATATATTCGTATGTCACAATTTTGACCTTCTTACTATCATTAGAACTAGCAGACACACACAAGTATACATTTAGAAGTAGCATTAAATTAATGCTTACAGGCTTATTAACTTTGCCATATGCTGGAAAGTATTTTTATGAATGGAATTGAAATAATTGCCATTCAGATATCTATATCCAGGAATAGGACAAATTAGTATGGTTGCTTCCTTTTTTACATTGGTTTATATTTTCTATTATCGTCAAATTTAGTTTCGTTATATATTATCAAGTATTTTCCAATTATTCTAATTTAGAAACTTATAGATATTATACACTCGAGAATATTCCGATACGATAAAAGGAGTTTTAAACGTTATCAACAATTAGAAATGCTCTTACAGCTTTGTAATATTGTTTGGAGATGGTAAAGCTAAGCTAAGGCTTCCTCCAAAGTAGTTATAGCTTAAATCGCTACACAAAGGAAGAAATTTAAAGGAGGAATTGTAGTATATTATATTGTAGTCTTTAGATATAAGATTTGCTTTTTAAAATTGATCTACATATTTAATATTTTAGAAATATAATTCTGGCATTAGTATTTTACATAAGCTAGTAGCCTGTCGTCTTCGTAAAGATTAGAGCATGTTGAATCCAATCAACAAGCAGTTAACTTACAGCAACTGAATATTTGGAGAATTAGAAAATGAAGTTGCAGGAATCATGCGAAGAGCATTGTGACTTATTCGTCTATTTGAAAGAATTAGTTATTAGTAAATAGGTGCTAGGTTAAAATACTTTACTCAATAATCACAATTATTGTTTACATTAGCTTCTGATTCGCAAGTCAGGCATTTTATAAAATAAAGTTCTTATAGGGATCGTAAAAATACAACATTACAAGAATGACTTACAATTGATTTAGTACAGGTAGAGCATTAAACCCTGCCTCTCCGATATTGACAATTTGATTAAAATCTAAGTTTCTGAGAGCATGTAAATGTGATTAGTATTTAATTCTTTAAAATTTTTACTGGTAGTTATCACAGGTAATATTTGATATTCTAGCTTGTTGTACCATAGTACGGATGGTAAATAGCATTTCATATCTATTAGGTTATTGTATTTCCTAAAACTGTAAATGTATACTTACAGTATTTGTAGTTTAGGTAGCCCTTTAAAGTCAGCTTTATTAATTGAGGAGAGTTTATTACTGTTCATTAACCTTGATGAATTTAGAAGTAAATGTTAGGTCATATTACTTAAAAGCTTTAAATAAAACAATTTGCTAATTAGGATAAAAAATTATGAAATGTTACTCAATATAAGCTTACAAAATTTGCAAACTTGGTATCTGAAACTGGCCTTGTCCAAGGGATGTAATGGAATTAACTTCAAGATTTCTGTAGTTAATTCCAGTTGAAGATGATGATAATCAATAAAATCGGATTTAAAAATGTATGCGCGAAACCATTTAATTAGGAATTCTAATATTTTACCCAAGATTACCATAACAAACGCTATCTTCGTTAGTTCATAATACTCTGATAACTTACAGTGTACTGTATAGTTTAGTCATTGGCTTTAATGCAGTATATGGTAAGGTCTTGATAAATTGCTGGCTTAAATCCCTATTGAAACGCAGGTCAATTTTATAGATTAAGCAATTATCCAGAAAATTACTACACCGATATTGAATTAACCTTCAATTGCATAAACTATCATCATTATTCACGTTTTGTTACGTTGATCTTAATTATCACGAAACCGATTTAAATTGTACGTTAAATTTATGTCTTTGGCTATTTGAAATTTTCTTAAATTGGATACAGCCATGAAAATATCAGTAAATTATCAGATTAAAATATGATGCTTACAGAGTTAGTAGTGAATTTAAACCTTTAAAGGCATAATCGCCTACTGTTGAAATTCTGTTATGCTTCAAGTTCCTGTTTCAGATGGAAATTTTCGATCGTTATTTAAATTTGATGACAATCAGTGATATTGTATTTAGTTGATATAGTGGGTGGATTAGGAAAATTTTTCCATGATGAAATATATATTGTAATTATACACAATTTACTTACAGTTCTGTAAGTTGATTTAGATTTTCGAAAATCTTATTTCCTAGTGTTATCAAACGGTTACCTGATAGATCTCTGCAATAATAGCAAGTATAAAAGTTTTTGTAAATCTGGTGTTAGAAGTTGATAAATTAATGGTATCAGCCAACCTTTATTATCGAAGATACACTGAAAATTAATTATTTAATATTGTAACATCGTTTGTCTTTGTTTCAGTAAAATTTAATAGATACTTTTAATGCTCTTACAGTGAAATCAGGTTGTTCGTACCATTAAATGCTCCTATTTCAATATTATTGATGGTATTGTCTTTTAACGTTCTAAACAGAGTGATTGACCAGGAAATTGATGTTAAAATATTTCTAATTTACCTTGGGTATAAACGCATTTAAGCTGCTAATTAATAGCAATGTTTGAGTATACCTCACAGCAATTTAAATTACAAAAAACATTAATATATGATCATCTAATTGAAGACTCACATATGTAAAAGGTTGGGAAAGTTAATGAAGCTATTAGCTGAAAGTGTTTTTAATCCAACCATTGATACCGAACTTAAATATAAAATTTAAACAATGATTAAATTGAAATAAAATTTTATTTCGGCAAAGTTCCTAAATTCTCTACGTTCAGCTTAATCTTGCATTCTCAATATTTAATTGTATGGTAATGTATCTTAAGCTCGCTCATATCAATTTATCTGGATAAGACAAACTAAAGGCTCTAAAATGAAAAATCTTCGCTTAAGCTTCATATTCATTTACATTTGCTGAATATCTAAACTCGGTGATGCTGGCTTTGGTATTGATATTCCTTCCCCGGAGCAAGATACTTGGCCAAAGATACACTTGCATTTTTTAGGACACTGAGAAAGTACTGCAATGTAGAATAGGAGAAATAATTGTTAATTAAAAAATGCAATTAGCTACTTAACTAATTTATTTACAATTTAGAAGTTGTCATTAATTTTAGGCTATCAATGTAGTTACTAAGTTATGTTATTTGATCAAAGTACTTTTACGATACCATTAAGACCGCGAAAGTACTGTACCGAAATATAATTCTCCATAACATGCATGATTATTTCTTAATTTTGAACTTTTGATGTTAATAAATGGATACAGCAATGACATAATCACACTGTTATGTTTTGATGTAGGATATTTTAGGTTTTGTTCTTAGGCTCCTGGCCTGCAATAATTAGTAATTATCTAATAGAATGCTCTTGATATTTGTTCGTTAATTAGCGATAATCATTCGGCTTTATTGAAACGAATTTGACTATATGTAGCATATATGATCTTGCAAAGCAGAAATTACTAAAATTTATGTTTTTGTACTGAATCTTTTTCAAATGTTCCAAAATTTAGATGCGAGATACGAAGGCGACTTTATAGTGGTATTTAATCTGTTTCTGTCCTTGATAATAAAATAGGCAGTGATAAATCTTACAAAATCTTCATCACTAATGTTTAAGAAATTAGAGTAGGTCAATAATAGGTAGACTGGATCTCTATTAGATTCCGTCAAGATTACACTATATTGATCTATAGTTATATAATTCCCTAATTGAATAAATCAGTTAATGATAGAGGAAGAAGAATTTGGTAAATTGCTGTAATTGAAGGAAAAGTAAGATTATTTCGATTTGAAACTGCGCGATTATGGTATATTTTGACTAAATTTTCAAGGGGTATAACTACATCTCTGTCTATCTATGCTAATTTTGGAAAACTTATAGGTTTATTTGCTTTAAAATGTTTTAAACTATTAGTTGAGCAAGAATGAAGGGATCGCTCAAAATGTTTTTAAAAGTTTAACGAAGAATGAGGAAGTGAATAAAAAAGACATTCCAAAGATGTCTTTTTGATACTTAAGCTCGTAATAGATTTAAACGTCCTGATATCGTTAATGCATTAAAAGAATCCATTGAGATTTATGTTTCTTGAAATAATTGATGCATCAAAATGTTCTTAAAAGCTTATTGAAGAATATAGTGGTGAACAGGGAAGTCATTTCAAACGCATCATTTTGATGTACGAGTAAGAGTGCGGAATAGATTAAAATTTCCTACTTTCGTTAATACGTTAAAGGAATGCATTGAGATTTATATTTTAGCACGATTTGAATTTAATAAAGTTTCAAGTTAGAAAATTTCATAGTATAATAATGCATAAATTAACCTTAGACTTCAAATGCTACTGATTTAATCACTGCAATGTTACCGCTCGAATTACTGCTGAGGTGCTTCCACAAACCAAATAAATCCTTTTGAGCAATGAAAAGATTGCGGCTTGTCTTGCTATCCGTATAATAGTCATGGCTAACTTAGAAGAAAAATTATTCTATTTGGCAAGTTAAAGTACTGTATCCTTCTGATTTGAACTTCTACGCCAGCTTTCAACAAATAAATTAATTATAACAAAAGATTAAAATTTAATAGTCTAGTTTATTCACATTTCCCTAAATTACTAATGTATTCTGATCAAGTTATTCCCACATTTTTTCTTTTCTTTCTTTCTGATCTGAATCATACGGTGCGGTAATTCTTTAATTAGTTTTACTAGGTCTCATTAAGCATATTATTCGTATGTCATACTACCTTTAGGTTAAAACTCTGTTGATGATTTTAAAGTTATTATCTAGTTTTGCAAAGATTGTGCTACCTGTTTGAGCTTGGAAAAAAATTAGTAGAATAACTAACTGGACAGTTTTCATTTTGAAGGAATATTTAAGCAACTGAAGCGAGCTATGGTAGAATGATATATTACTGATTTCCCACAACAGTCTATGGTCATAAGTAACTAATTATTTCTTAAGATAAATACAAAAAGTCATGCTATCGCACATCATACTAAACAAGGCTATTAGTCTACAATCTCAATACATAGTGGTGTTACAGGTAGTTAACTTATATTAATTAACTGAATCTAAATTGCCTAACTATTTAAAAGGCGGAAATTAAATTGCTTAATTGGTTTGTTATTCGATATAGAATTTCATTTGTTTGATATCATCCCTCTTGACATATTGACATATTAATGTAATTATCTATAGAAAAATTTACATTTTAGACAATGCTAATTATTCCAAGTACTTGTAAAGATTTTATAATAGCATACCGCTAAGTATAGAGAATATTAATGACCCCTAAAAATAACTGGTAATTGTTAACTTCAACCACAATAAATGACGTAGGTAGTCTAATAATACGGTAGGTAGAGAATTTATTTATAGATAATTGAAATGCGTATCTAAATAATGTGCTCGTATAAAATATTCATCACCGAATCGTCTGTTTTTAACCTCTTATACAGTTATCAGTTATTTAGTATACATATCTAAACCATACAATCTTACTGTAACTAGAATAATACCTATTACAACAGTAATTCTTCTGTTACTGCAAGGATTTTATTGCCGGATGGCCTCCTTCGCTCAATACATTATCATTATAACGAAATTAGTCAATGATCAAGCGGTTTATTGTGATTATCTCATGAATTACAAATCATCTTTACTGTCCCATTGATAATGCTCTGCCTGTCGTACAAATTAGCTCTATCCTACTATAATTTCCTTTTAATGACATACAAAAATCAATGGGCGGTAAAAGCTCCATTTAGGCTAATGCTAGGTGCATAAATTCCCATAGATGGATTATAAGTCATAATATGTTAAGAAGATTTTAATATTTGAATGCATCTCAGTTTATATCAGCTTCATACATCTGTTCGCCAGCAAGATTGAAGAATACTATCTTGATTTTTAATTTTAATTAAATCTAAAAATGTGGCGTAGTATTCACCATGACACTTTTAAGTCACTCTATTACAATTCTATTACTAAGCATTAAGCAAGCACTTAAATTTATTTACCATCGATGCCAAAGTTTTACAAGAAGATGCAGAGAAAATATAATTATTAGAAATGACGGTACATTTCCTCATAGCTTAACTGTACCTAACATATTAGAAATCAAATCTAGTTGAAGCATCTATAAAAATAATAGCTTCTTATTGCAAATTATTGTGTATCCAGTATTAACGGAGAATAATTCGTACAGCATCAGGTACTTCTGAGACTAATGTACTTTCTATAACAATCTATTCTCTGGTGTGGGCATAAGAGTAGCTGATAATATTTTCTTATACATGGTTGGTCGATAACATGATCATAATCATCAAGATTAGATCTGTCTACTAATATAAGATTTCCTAAACTAACTTTAATTAACATCTATTTTCGTTACTTAGATTTCCTAATTTTGTACTTGAATTATCTGATCAGTTATCCTAGCCTAAATTAAAATAACTTCCTCATTTTCTTCAGTGCATCTAATGAGCTTGCTATGTTCTAATAAATTCCTATTATGCCCATAAAGTTAACATAACGACCAAACATATAAATAAGGTTAGTTGGTTCGTCCAAGCTCTTATAGTATTTGCAGCCCCAGTTATATGAGAGGGAGTGGGTGCCTTAGTATTTGACCCACTAGTAGGATTACTAGTTGGATTGCTACAATATTGAAAATATTTCATGTTAGCACTCCGTTATTTTTATTCGCTATAAATATTCGATACTGTTCTAAATTCTACTAATGATAAGATTTATAGTGCGATCATAATATTTTATAATAATAGAGCGTGTGTCTGACCTCATCGAGCATTTACCAGACGGTATTTGCGGTAGTACATTAGTACATGTTATTGTACTGGTTTGATTAGAACATCCTGCACGTGGCATCAAGCATACTACTGTAGATGGTTTATTACAGCACGCAATTGCAGAAGTAGTTATCCTATTATATAATGTTACCAGTTAGGGTTATTTCTCTTTTACTGCTCTAATAAATTTGAATCTAGAGACTTACACCCTCTTTAACTTAGGTGTGCTGGCGTATGCATTTGCCGAGACACAGGATAACTTGTTACTTTGAATATTTCTGCAAAAATAATAGTATGGAATTAATAGCTTACCCGTATATGTTTCGAAGATGAATTTTCTAGATCATTAAATATTTTCTAAAGACAAACAATATCTACATTTTCAATTTATTCTAGGACTGAAGTACATGATGTAGATTTAAACTTACAAGTCTAAAAGATTTTTCAAGCCCGCAAAAGTCTTATCACCAATAGCAGTGAGTTGATTGAAGTCAAGCAATCTATTCGTAATTATTTGCACTTATGACATTAATTTAAAATCTGTTTTATATCTTGAGCAAAATTCCTCATCTCGTAAAGTACACTCACTAAATGTAATCAATTTAATCAGCCATTTCAGCAATCCAAGTAAATATAATACTGCATTATCAAATTACTAGGAATCATGTAATTTTATTATAAAACATAAGGCTTCTATTGACTTACAAATCAGTTACTTTTC